AGATCAGTTAAAGCGAGGTCGAAGCTGCAGTTCACCCTGGATGAAATGGCTTTTGGAGAAGCAAGGCTGTGAAATTCAATGGAAACGTAAGGTCTACTTATAGCATTGCGGGAAAATACGACAGCCAGTCACCTTATCAACTCAAGCTATACTGAGCGAATACATCACATAATCATGAGATTAATCAACTTAATAAGTATTGCTACGTATTTTACCTTTAATGGCAAAATGTATAAGCAAACACTAGGTTTATTCATGGGATCAGTTTTGTGCCAAATTTTAGATAATAATCACATGACTTACTTAGGATTTAAGCTAATTTAAGAGACACTCCTAGTACCTAAGTTTGTGATCAGATATATGGACGACTACTATGATATTTGTCGGAAACAAGTCTTATCTCTGACGGGTTGTAGCTTAGGGCTAAGAATAGCAAAGCTCATTGATAGTGCAAACTTCAATGCCAATGGTTCAAAGCCAGGAATTGTCATGCCAATTGTGGGGGAGGATTAAGAACAAGGTACATTAATCGAAGTCTACCTAGCAGCACAACTAAGTTGCGAAAACGAAATAAGACTTCTTCTGGAAAGCGAAAAGAGACAACTCTGTAAACATACCTGTAGTGGCAAATAGTCTAGAATAATTCTTTAGCTTAATAAGTTGGAAAGAACGACTCAATTCAGGAAGCATGACTTGGATTCCAGTATTTTAATAGACTCATAAATATTGCATACAGACAGCGCACAAGCCTAAAAGACGCGTAAACATTGCAGGATTTAAAGTCATTTAATCTAAGTTAGGAAACAATCGTGGCCACATTCATGGCTTTTATATGCACTAATTTGATTTATCTACAAGAACCTAAAGCAAGTATGAGGTAACCAACCAAATCATAGAATAGGGCCGCAGAATCAGGTAGTATATCAGCCGGCCACCATTCTTGGTTTAGTGTCCTAATGCAGCAATTCCCAAACTGCGACGCGGCGCCCCGAGGAGCCGTGGCCTCTTTACAGGGGCGCCGTAAAATATTGTAAAAGCTTTAATTTGAGAAAATGTGCAGTGATTTGCAGGCTCATCCATCACATTAATTTAATGTGAATAAAGTAAAAAAAATAATGAAGATACACGAGTTTTATTTATTTTCGCCTCTTACTTAAGAATAATCATACTTAGGGTAGGGCGCCATGGAAAAATTTAAATTGAATAAGGGCGCCGCGACTAGGAAAAGTTTGGGAACCATTGTCCTAATGAATTTTTAGTAGATGATGCTTTCTGGCTTCGAAAATGTTTATCACATGACAGGCAAAAGCTGAGTACGGATTTATCAGGATAACAAAATAACTGGCCGAGGACTCTAGTCATTACTCTAAGGCAACACTTCTTCGGTTTAGGGTGAGAACAATTTTTAATTTCTTCCACACCTTTTCAGACAAAATAGAAGGTACATCAACAAAAAGAGCAATTCTTGCCTAACCTTATATGTTCCTTAGATTCAACTTGGTTAATATTTTTTTAAATTTATGTATCCTCTTAGCTTGGGCCTTGCAGCCAACTAGTAGGACGCTAATCAATCTATCTCATATATCGTTTCCGCCATGTAATTTGCAATCTCAGACTGTCAAGCCCAGCAACTTCCGTAGGCACTTTATGTATATAGCCATCCTTAAGATAAATAAGTATCTTCAACATAAAGGTAGTATGTAACCCCCTGATTTCTAACTCTAAAATTTGGCATAACCTTATCATTGACTAGATGAATATGAATCTTACCCAAATCCCATCATAAGGTCGTAGATATTTTTGGAGGGAAATTAAGTTGTTAGCAAATAAGAAAAGCTATTGACCTCCCGGCCCAAATAAGAAAATAACCCCATTTCAGATTGTATTCTTTACTCAAATGTTAATCCTTAGGTTTTCGTGGCCAATTAGCCTGAACTAAAAATGATTCTCCTCTTTAAACAACATATTTATAATAATCACTTTTATTCAAACCAAACCTATCTCTTAAGTAATGGAGGGAAAATACTAAGAAAAAATCTACATAAAGTGGTTTCTAATAGACCATCTCACATAATGGACTAGGTTGAAGATGTGGCAATCAAACCATATTCTTGAGTATTTAATTTTTGAAAATTTTACTCTTTTGTTCGTATCTTCGAAATTTCATGGAGAGAAATAATGGATTGCTAAAAGGTTCTCCCATAGCCTCCTCCATTCTTTACACTAATTTTATGTAGGAAGAGTAATTTGTCTCCAATGATTCTCGTGAGGTATCATAACAGACAAAAGCGAGGAACCTGAACCGTAGAATGTTTCGAGAACTCAGTCAGAATGAGTGTCCAAGAAGAACAAACAACAGATCAAGGGAGATCCACTCGCGCCTTCTAGTGGGATGAACCTATGAATATTTTCATACACTTTCACACGAAATGAAAGTTCAACAAAATTTTTTTTTTAATTGAAGAAGTTTATGCCTGTGTTTAAGAAAATAAAGTAAAAGACCTAAGAAAACATTGCTATGGCAATTCAATACATTGAAAAAAAAGATAATAACCTTCATGCTTGAAGACAGAAAAGCTTTGTAACACAGAATCTTGTCTCTGATCTGAAGACTGAAATGAAGCTGGCGCCTCAAGAGCATTTGGTCCGCAGCCTACTAAACACTGTCTACGAATTGTTCGAGATTCAGCATCAAACGGGTCCGTGGAAGTCTGAGGGGCTCGGTGAGAGTCAGTAGGCCGGGCAGTGTTCGCTTGATCATTGCAAGGAAAGAGGCAGGGTTTCAGTTCTTCCGGCGACTGGTGTCGATGCGGCTGATGATTGTGTGAACGAAGACTTTTAGACTGGTTTGCGGGACCATAGGGATGAATTTGGCAAGAGTGATGTGGAGGCTTTGGGCTTGAGGCTCGAACAGGGGAGCGCTTCAACCTAGGGGTTGCACTGGATCCAGACAGTATTGGCGGCGGGTAGAGCCGAGTGACAGGAAACAATCCGAGCTCGTCCATGGCCTGAGCAATACGACGCTCCACGCGGAATGAAGAGCTGACGTGCAGATGCTTTGCAAGCAATTTAGGAGATAGCTGAATGCGTTGAGAAAGTAGAGTGGAAGCATACCGAGTATTTGGAAGGTCAGAGAAATTGGATTCGACTGGCCCAGTTGAATGGATTTCGGAATGGGAGGCCTTGGTAGGAGAAGTGACTTGACACAACTCCGAGTTTGCTGCACAAGGTGGATAGTATTAAGAAGAAAGTTCAATAAATACATAGAGTAAAGCCATATACTTTAGCATAAGGCTTCTGAGGGCTTTTCATGAAGTAATCTGAAGATTAGTCGGAAATGGTACTTTCTAATGGCCCTCAAGGCTAACTGGAAAGTTCTCTAAATAAATTAAATACCAAAATATTCAGCAAATAAGTAGCGAGATATTTTTGAAATGGGAGATAGTGTCTGAGCTCATAAGATATTTTTTTCGAGTTGTAAAAATCGAATGTACTTGGTTTTAACAATGCGCATAATATACTCTTAGGCTAATAATAAGTGGTATGGCAAGAAATAGAATGGCAAGACTAATTAGGAATATAAGTGTCTCGTACTACAAGATGTGCTGTCGGTATTTCATACTTTTCCATGCATTTAGATGCATGTCTAGAGGGAAAAGTGCGTCAGAATCTATTCATACGGCATATTTTTAATATATTTTTTGTCAAGAAGAGTAATAATGTGAAATCCAAATAAATAAAAGGATAAACATAGGATAAATTAAATATACAAAATATTGTCATAAACCACAATCTAAGGATAAGTAAAGATGTACCCCAACTTGAATGTTCTTAATGGTTGTAGATAAATTTAAGTGATACTGAGAAGATTAGTTATAAAGAA